GAGGATAGGAAAGGAGGGGAGGAGGAGGAGGAGGAGGAGGAGGAGGAGGAGGAGGCATGAGGGGGAAGAGGGAGAGGAGGAGGAGGAGGAGGCGAAGCAGGCTGCGACTGCGGAGCACGAGAGCGAGGAGGGTGCCGAGGCGGCCTCCGCAGAGGCGCAGCGCGCCCCTGGTGAGAGGGCGGCTCTCTCGGCCACACCGTTCACCAGGCGATGGACCTGTGGTGCGCCCACCAGGGTACTCCAGATTTCGTAGTAAAGGGAGGGGGGTCTCATTTCGGGGGGGGGGTCTCTTCCAGGCTATCTTGGAGGGCCTGGGGGGTCCGGGGGCGATGTTTGGGAGGGTTCTCCCACGGGGGAGGTCTGAAATGGCTTGTCTTGGGGTCCAGACCCCCTCCCTTTCATTACGAAATCTGGAGTACCAGCCGCGGCGCCGCGCGCCCTTCGAGCAGCGGCGCGGCGCGCGCCGCGCAGGCCGCCCGGCCGCCCCTTGTGCACTCTCGCTCTGGAGGCGCGGCCCTTGGAGCATTGAGGAGGAGGAGGAGGAGGAGGAGGAGGAGGAGGGATGAGGAGGAGGACGAGGACGAGGACGAGGAGGAGGAGGAGGAGGAGGAGGAGGAGGAGGAGGAGGAGGAGGAGGAGGAGGAGGAAGGCTGCGTTCTGGGAGCGGTGCCTTGCTGCGCTCCTCTGCGAGCAGTGGGAAGCCGACCCCGGCCCCCACAGCTGTGGATTTTGCATGTCAGCGTTCTGCATGTATGGCGAGTGTGCGTAAGTGCAGGCGCCCTGTCGGCGAGGCCATTGCCAGCTGCCGCAGGGGTGGCCCGCGCGCGCGGCGACGTCCTGGGCCCAGTCGACGCGGCCGCGCCCGCGCCAGCATTCCCAGGGCCGCGCCGCCATTCCATTTCCTCGCCTCTCTTTTTCTCCATAAGAGTTCGTTGCAGATGAGAGGGTTTACTTGGCTACATGTAGCTCAGTAGTGCCAGGTTCGCCCCGCCGTTCGTCCGCCGCGCGGCGCTAGTGGGTAAGTCATCCAGGTTCATGCCGTCGTTCGTCGCGGCCACCACTTGACCTGGGGGCGCGCCGCTCGTCGTTCCTCGAAGTCAACCACTCGGGGCATGTGGTTTCCGTCGTTTGTCGTCGCCCAGGTGGGATTTCAATATCACCAGGTCAATATCACCAGGGTCAGTTGGCCCCCGCGCCCCCTTCTCTCTGGACGGGCCGCCGCCGCCGAACCCGATGCGTGCGAAGTGCACCTAGCGTTCGGGGCCGCCGCAGCCGCCGTCGCCGCGATTTCGCGGCGGGGCATCGCGCCGAGAGGCGCCGAGCTCGCCCGCCGCCGAAATACGAGAGTGGCGCCAGTTGTATGCATGGTTGCCTTCGGCCCCAGCTCATCCTGTGGGTCATTTCCATACAAAGTCTCACGTGAAGGAGTTCAATGCGAGCCCCTTTTGTGGAGGATTTCAATAGGAATCCTTTTGTGGACTGTTTCGATCGGAATCATTATGTGCAGGGTTTTACCCGGACTCCTTATGTGGAGGGTTAAACTGTTAATTTGTTTGTAGAGGATTTCAATCGGAATCCGTATGTGGAGGGTGTCGATACGAACCTTCATGCATTTGTGGGGTGGGGGGGGGGGTATAGCAATCCTGCTGTCGAGGAATTGTTTCATCTAAAATTCGCAGGTTTGCGTAGAAGTGATATTCCGTTCCCCAGTTATCGAGCAGTTAGTCTGTATAGGTTGTTTCACGTGTTATCCGTCGCTTGAGTAGAGTAGTTCATGTCAACATGCGAGTTGGCTTGTCGTTTGTTTATCGAGAAGGGTAAGAATGTTTTTTTCATATCGCGTTGTTTGTCGGTGAAAGAGGGACTTCCCTACTCAGGAACATCAGCCCGTTTGTCGTTTTTCCCCCAGCAGGTCGTTCAAGTGATAGGGACCCCCTTCATGTGTAAAGTACGCCAAGGCGTTTTCCAAGCAAGGTGTCGCACTGCTTCTTGGCCATCACGCATGGGAGGCGCATCCGATTTGGAAAGTGCGCCAGTGGATCTCCCTGAATGCACTAAAGGGGTGGGGGGTCCAGAACCCCCCCCCCCTCCCTCCCTTCCCCCGATCCGTCGTCGGGCCCCCCCCCCTCCCCCCCTACCCCGATCCAGCGGCGCACCCTCTCCGATCTGCGCATGCCCAACTCGTCTGGCGAAAACAGGCCGTCCAGCACGCCAAAGCCCCCCTTTTCTGGCAGGCTGCGGGGGCACCGATTTCAAAAAAAGAAGCCTACGCGGCGAACCACGGCCCCGGCGTTTTGCAGACGCCTCCTCCCCTCCCCCTCCTCCCCCTCCTCCTCCTCATCCTCCTTATCCTTCTCCTCCTCCTCCTCCTCCTCCTCCTCCTCCTCCTCCTCCGTGTGGCCAAACGTTGGGCCAACGTTTGGCCGAACGATTGGGCTCTGTATCCCCCAGGCCCCAAACGCTGGGGGGGCGAGGGGGGAAGAGGAGAAGAGGGACTCAGGAGGAGGAGGAGGGAGAGGAAGAAGCGGCGCAGGAGGAGGTGGAAGAAGAGGAGGAGGAGGAGGGGGAGAGGAGGGAAAGGAGGACACGGATGAGGAGGAGGAGGAGGAGGAGGAGGAGGAGGAGGAGGAGGAGGAGGAGGAGTAGGAGGACAGAGGATGGAGGACCGAAGAGGAGGAGGAGGAGGACCGAAGAGGAAGAGGAAGAGGAGGAGGAGGAGGAGGAGGAGGAGGAGGAGGAGGAAGACGATAAGAGGAGGCCTTTCGGGACCCCCTTGGGGCCTCTTAGGCTCTCAGGACGGGGCCTTTTGTGGGCCTCGTGGGCCGTCTTGGGGCACTTCTTGTCCCGTCTGACCCGAGAAGGTGCCAACGCGGTAACCATTGAAAACGCTTTGAGGAAATCAGCGAATTTGGTCTCTTCTGGGGATCTTTTTGGTGGCCTCTTGGACCATTGTGGGGATGTCATCGGAGCCTCTCGGGCCGCCTTGGGCCATCTTCGGCCATCTTGGAGGTATCTTGAGCCGTTTTGGAAGCATTTGGGGGTCATCTTGGCAGTCTGGGAGGCCCTTTTGAAGCCATCTTGAGCGGGAAGGCCATGGGGAGACACATTTAATGCAGGACTCCTGACGACCAGCGCATGCGGCCAGAGGCCATTGAGAGCTTCCGGCCAGGGGCATAATATTCCCACGTTGGCACGCCAGGCACCCCATTGCAAGCAACGGGGACGGCGGATCTAGTGACATTCGGCCCATCCCGCCAGTGCCCTTGTCGTGGATCCGGGACATTTCGAGCGTCTCGAAACGTCTTGACCCTTGGGGATGTCTTTGCGCCCCTTTGGGTCATCTTGGGGCAGCCTTCGATCGTCCTTGGACGCCCACACCCTGGAGCCCCGAAGAACGGCCGAGAACTTTGGCGAACCAGGGACGGGGGCCGTTCAAGAACCATCACTCACGGATGTTACGAGCTTTGCGAGGCTCCACATCTGAAGGCACAGTGGCGGGGATTCGTCGTCGCACGTATTGGTTCTCTTCTTGTGGCGCTTTTGATTTGGGCACGGCTTGCGTGAATAATTCCGTAAAAGGAGATGGGAGAGCGAGTTCGTGAGCCAAGGCATGCGCGATTACGTAATTATTGTTGCTGATTTTGCAGCTGCTACTAGCCTTTAGTAAGCTGATTTGGGTGACCTTGAGTCGAACACGTGATATACTTGTTGGACGCGTTTGGGGGAACCGTTTCGGGCCAGCATTGACACCTCAGCTGGCAACACTGAGCCGCACAGGCAGCCGCATTCACAACATGTGCTTCTAGTCATCGGAGGTCAGGCGGCGAGCAGCTATTTGAATATGTGTGTTTGTGGGCTCAGGGTCGAATTGATCCACCCTGACTCCGGATCCGCCCTACTTTGGGGAAGTTCGTAAGTAGGGCTTGGAATTTCCGCCTTATTTGTCAAGCCCCGTTGATGCCAATTTCCGCCCTACTTTTCTGTTGTTGTTTCCGCCCTACTCCTGTGGATTTCCGCCCTACTTTATGTTGGGTGCAGAAATTTCCGCCCTACGTTTCGGCTTCTTACAGGTGAATTTCCGACGCAATTGCAAGTTGGAAAAAAGTTAAAGTAGGGCGGATCTGGAGTCAGGGCAGGGCGCACTTCGATACAAGACCATCGTTGTTTTCGAGGCATCGTCTTTTATAACGAACATGCTGTTGACCAGCAGCAACGTTGTGGCCACCCGAAGAAACGTACCAACAGTGACTTCAAGCGGACGTGGTATAAAACACTGGAGTCGCTCAGCGGCAGGCTCTGGGGATAGCCCGAAAGTCATGTGAGCTGGAGGTCTGACTCAGTGCTTGCGACACGGTGGCGGACAACAGAGAAGGCTCGCGCATATTGACACTGGGTAGGCGTGCGCGATTCCAACCTAGCGAGGAGGAAGAGGGGAAGGGGAAATAGGATGAAGAGGATGAGGAGGAAAATAGGAGGAGGAGGAGAAGGAGGAGGAGGAGGAGGAGGAGGAGAAGGAGGAGGAGGAGGAGGTGGAGGATGTGAGACTGCCGTCGCACGACGTGCGGGAAGACTCGTGCAGTGCGGCTTTCACAGTCCACGGAGAAAGGTGCAGGAGGAGGTAGAGGAGCAGGAAGGCGAGGATGAGGAGGACGAACAGGAGGGACAGCAGCACGTGGAGGAGGGGGGCGGTAGGCTGGCAGCGGCCTCGACGATCTCGCGTTCGGGTCGGCCTTGTGGTGTCGAGATGGGCCAGCGCTCACACGCCTGACCCTGGTGGACACCAGATTTAAACCAGGTCTGGCGTTGGGGTTGCGGATGCAGGAGGAGGAGGAGGAGGAGGAGAAGGTGGAGCGCGAAGTGGATGAGGAAGAGACATTTTATACTAGTGAGTTGCATCAGCAGGAAGACAAGGAGGAGAAGAGGAACCACAGGGACAGACATCGCATGAGTTGGATGAGAGTTGCGCGTAGAGCAAGCCCATGCATTACATGACGCGACAGATCAAGATCGGGCTGGTCACTGAGAAGTCGTGGTACAGAGGCTACCTGACGCGCACTGCCTCCCCTTCTCTATGTACCGCAGTTGCGAAGGAGTAGGAGGATATGGAGGAGAGGAGGAGGAGGAGGAGGAGGAGGAGGAGGAGGAGGAGGAGGAGGAGGAGGAGGAGGGAGGAGGAGGAGATGATATGGAGATGGAGAATGGAGATGGAGGAGATGGAGGAGGAGGAGGAGGCGGAGGAGGAGGAGGACGAGAGGAGGACGAGGAGGAGGAAGAGGAGAAGGAGGAGGAGGAGGAGGAGGCGGGGGAGGAGGAGGAGGCGGAGGAGAAGGAGGAGGGAGGAGGAATAAGAGTAGGAGGGAGGAGGGAGGAGGAGGAGGAAGTGGAGGGAGAAGGAGGAGGCCGAAGAGGAGGAGGAGGAGGAAGAAGAAGAAGAAGAGTATGACGAGGAGGAGGAGGACGAGGAGGAGGAGGAGGAGGAGGAGGAGGAGGAGGAGAACCGCTGATTTCCACCTTTCGGCGCCTTCAGACGCTGCGCCTCCGCTCGTGCAGCGTAAAAGAGGAAGGCCGCTGCCGACCCGCCCCCGGTCGCGCGGGAAGGCGAGGGCCGCTGGCCACGGGCAGGATCGTTCACGGTCTGATCCGATTTGGTCCCCCGGCTTTGGTTCCGATTCCGATGCGATCTGGCACGAGCGGGGTCGCTCTCTGGCATCCGTCATCGACCGATCCGGAGTGGCATCTCGTGGGCATGGCCTGGGTCGACGCATGGGTCGAGGCTGTCTTGAAGTGGTTCGGCGAGAAGGCTGGGCATGCGCCCGGCGCTCTGCTGCACCAGCACATCTACTTCTTGATGAGCATGGCTGATGCCATGGGTCGGTGCTTGTTCGGCACGTTCTGGGCGAGGCTGCAGTGGGCTGCCATGGGGCTTGTAGCTCTCGGGGTGGCGACCGCCCTGGGCTCCGTCATCGGGTCTGTGGCTTGATTTTTGCGCGCGGCATGGTCCTGCGTCGCGTTCATTGCGAAGACGCTGAAAGGGGTTCGCAGGCGGCAGCAAGACAGGGCACGACGTCAGGGTGGCCGTGGAAGGCGACCTGGCCTTCGCCCTGATTTGGCACGGCCCAGCAGAGGCTGATGCAGTGGACGAGGCCTACGTGAAGAATGAAGTCAGGGCGAGGGGAGGCAGCGTTGAGAAGATGATGCCCAAGGACCTCGTCATAAAGTCGGGGGGCTCCGTCGCCCGCCTGGAGCAGGGGCCGCTCAACGGCATCCGCCTCGCAAGGCATGGGCACGTCCACCGCTTCATGGAGGTGAAGGGCAGCTCTCGCCGCTACCTCAAGGACGACCTCGAGGCGACGTGGGACGACGAGGGCATTGGGATGGTGCACCTGTGCGCGGCCATCCCGCGCACTCTGCCAGGGCGAGAAGAACCTCGCCCGCGTGTGCTCGTCGTGCGTGGTCCACCACAGCGCCCAGATCAACGTGTCGGACTTGGCCGGGTTCACTCCCGCGGGCCGTGCGCGTGCAGACGGTCGGGTCTGCTGCGCTTGGACCTGCAGCTGCGTCGGCAAGCTCGGTCGGCGTACGCCCAGGCGGTGCGCCAGGAGACGAAGGAGGCACCCAAGGCCGGGCAAGGAATCTGGGAAAGCTGAGGATATGGACCCCAACCCGGAGACCGAGTCCGAGCCCAGCGTCGACGTCTGCGAGGCGGACAATAACTGCCTTTCCCGGCAAGGGAGGCACGCAGGTCTTGTGCACGAAGGGCTGCAGGGTCTCGGTCCGCCAGGAGCCCCTTTTCATGCTGGTCGAAGATGCGGCGATCTCGGACGCGCGCGGCGCCCCGGAGGCGGGCGGCGCCCGCGCCTTCCGAGCGCGCCCCTTCCACGCGCAGACCTACGAGGCGCAGGCCGCGCCGAGGAAGTGCGCTCGGGCCCAGTTGTTCAGGGGGAGGACCACGCTACGCCGCTGATCGCGTCGCAGCTTGGAGCAGCCGCTCAACTGCACCACGGACCGAAGAGGAGGGGGCTGGGCTCGCGCCGGGCCGAGAAGCAGGAGGCGCAACAGGCACGCGAGGATCGCCCGCAGGCGAACGCGGGGGCCCGGAAGGGCAGCCCAGCTAAGGAAGCGGTGGGCGCGCCTTGGCTCATCCGCGCCCGCGACCTCCCGGCGGGGGGAGCTGCGCGCTGGGACACCCACCCTGAGGGTATCCGGACTTAAAATATAGGCCCCCCGTCCCATTTTTCCGCCCGCCTGTTCACCCGGACCTAAAACCTTGAACATCATAGGCCCCGGGCCTATAATTTCAAGTTAACATAATCCGATGCATTATGGGCACGGGCCTATAACATAGGCCCCCCCGGGCCTAAAATGCATTTTTGGTTTTAGGCCCCCCGGCCTAATATCACTTTTGCGTTTTAGGCCCCCCGGCCTAAAATCACTTTTGCGTTTTAGGCCCCCCGGCCTAAAATCACTTTTGCGTTTTAGGCCCGCCCAATGATTGCATCCACGTTTCGTCGCCCCGCGGCGGAATGGCCCTCTCGCCTCGGCGCCTGCCACGTGCTCTCGCCCCCCCCCCCCCCCAATGAGCACGCAGGTGGGCACAGCGCATGGTGCTGGTACCGCAGGAATCGGTTCAGGGGCGTGCTGGAGGCTGCCTGAAGACACACCTCCTCCTTCCAACTCCTCCCACCCCTTCCCCTCCCTCTCCTCCCCCATCCTCCTTATAGGCTCAAGCAGGCATGCCCAAAGCGTCCCAGAACAGAGATATAGACGCAATCAGTGCAGCTATCTTGTCATGTGAAGCCGCCCGACGGCCCCCGATCGTGAAGGACCAATGGGGAAACGTCATCCCGCCCCCCCATCCCCCCCTCCCTGATCACCGTGACCCTCCCTGTGATCCCTCACTCTGTGATCCCTGTGAACAGATGGATGGGATCACAGGGCCCTGTGATCCCATCCATCCGTTCGCCTCGCCCGCCCCCGCCCCCACAGAAGTTCGACAAGTCGAACGCCCTCGAGCTGCAGAGAGCGTGCCAGGCCAGCGCGCCCATTTTCAGGGCGCTGAAGCAGGTTTGGCGGCGCGCCCACGGGGGAGTGCAGATGGGGCAAGTCTTCTGAGAAGGGCTTCGCCCTCCCGCCTTCTGAGCCCTGAGGGGTTTCAGAAGGCGGGAGTGCGAACCCCCTCCATCCTCTTAGAAGGCCTGCCCCCTCTCGCTTTATCGAGCGCGCCGCCGACAGGTAGACCCCAGGCTGTACTTCAACCCCGACGCCATGGCGGCTGCGCTCAGACGGGTCGCGACGAAGATGGAGTACAAGGCCATCGTCAAGAATTTGTTCACCCCTCCCACCCCTCTGCACATCCCCCTCTCGCCCCCCTCTTCCTTTTAGTGGAGAGGGGGTGGAACTGAAAAAGTTTATAGGAAAGAGATGATCAAGGCGGCCTCCAGGCCGCCTCGATCATCTCTTTGCCGCCACTGTATCCGTCTCCTTTGCCGCCTCGGGGCGGCAAAGGAGACGGATACAGTGGGGGCCCGACCAAACCCTCTAGTTGAACGCCCGTTGCCAACGGGACTTCGAGCAGCAGGTGTCGGGACGGATCATATACTTGTGCCAGGACGCCCGTTTTGGGGGGCAAGTCCGAGGGAGGGCAGGGGTAGAGGGGGAGAGTGGTGAGAGAGATGGATGGGGGATGGACCCTGCAATCAGGGCCGTGCTGGGAGAAGGGAGGGAGGGGGAGGGAGAGAGGGGCGGAAGGAGTGAGGGAGGAAGTGATGGAGTGAGGAAGTGATTGAAAGAGTGAGTGAGGACGGGAGTGAGCGACGGGAGGGGGGGATCGAGATAGAGATAGTAGAGGTAGAGAGAGTGAGAGAGAGAAAGAGAGAGAGAGAGAGAGAGAGAGAGAGAGAGAGAGAGAGAGAGAGAGAGAGAGAGAGAGAGAGAGAGAGAGAGAGAAAGAGGGATATAGAGAGAGAGAGAGAGAAGAGAGAGAGATAACGGCAAATAAAGCAATGCCGATATAGAGAGAGGGAGCCCGTCCCACGCGTGCCCAGACCTTGACGAGAAGACAGAGGAGCGGACGAGCATGGGCGAACCAGATCCTGCAGGAAGAGGAGCGATGGGAAGGCATAATAAGGCCATCGACGCCACGTCTGGACTCGCCTCGAAATCTCCCAAACCAACCCCACCCAACCCGAAATCCCGCACACCGATTGTTGTTTGGGGAGGGTCTGGGACCTCAAATTTGAGGTCCCAGACCCTCCTCAAACAAGTCTGCGTGGGGGGGGGTCTGCGTAGGTCGTTTTTGCAGATCCGCGACAGGACGGCGACAATAACAACTACGGCGAGGAGGCCGAGGAGTCAGAGAATCCAGACGAGTTCGTGCGAGATGAAGAAGTAGAAGCAGAGGGGCCGAGGAGGAGAACGACGAGCAGAACAACGAAGGTGAGGAGGAAGAGGAGGAGAAGAACGATGAGGGCGAGGAAAGCGAAGAGGAGCCTGAGGAGCCATGTGCAGTCCTCAAACGGCCAGCTGCAGCAGATAAGAAACGACCAGCAGATCAGATGAAACGACCAGCAGCTGCAGCACCACCAGATCAGATGAAACGACCAGCTGCAACGTCCGCTGCCGACGAGGAACTCCACCTCCTGCTCATCCTCATCCCCCCGTCCGCTCCCTCGCCACCCGTGTCCAACCGAGGATGAGTTCGACTACGGCTACTGCAACATGATGCAAGCTCCTTATCGCGTGTGCCGCGTCGGGAACCAGGAGCGAGACTATGGCGTGATCTTCGTGCCAGATGGCGCGTCTGGGTCGGACCCAGCCAAAGCAAGGTGGTGATATATGAAAGGGATGAGAGGCCTCCCGAGGGCCCAGGGGGAGGGAAGGGAATCGGTAGGAGAGGAAACGTGAGGAGAGGACAGGAGGCGGAGGACGATATTAGGTGCACTGACGAGGATCGGGGGGAGATGAGAGAGGGGAGGAGACAGCGGGCAGGACGAGGAGAGGAGGGGACTTAAGGTATGGGGAGGGTCGGCCAGCAGGTGGAG